AAAGGGCAGCCAGACCTTGGGAAGTATAGGGCAATATCGTTGCTCTGTGCAGACTATAAGGTTTTCGCAAAAATTTTGGGTAATAGGGTGAAATGCGTGGTTGGGAGGGTTGTTTCACCATCACAGTTTGGGTTGCCGGGCAGGTCGATGTTAGAAGGTCACGGGATTTTAAGAAGTTTTGTGGAGTCAAAGGGAGGGGGCCGTTTTACTGGCTTTAGACTGGCGAGCCGCCTATGATAGAGTGGAAAGAGGTGCACTGCAGAGTATACTTAGGAGACAGGGTTACGGTGACGAAATAGTTGGGTGGGTAAACACGCTGTATAAGGGAGCAAAGATGAGAGTACAAATAAATGGGTGTATGGGGACGGACTTTGAGATGGGTAGAGGTTTACGACAAGGGTGCCCTATGTCACAGATCTTATTTGCGTGTTTTCAGGATCCCTTTTACAGGATGGCTGAGAGCACAGTAAATTCCCGGGGTGAGGGAGGGTAGGGGAAGGGAGATGTTGGCCGGCATTAATAGGTTATGTGGATGATACGACTGTTTTGGTGTGTGAACGGATGTCTATGAAAGTGTTGGAAGATGTACGTGTGTTTGAACGAGCCACGGGTATGAAGGTAAATAGTAAGAAGTCAATGATCATGGGGTTGGGTACCTGGAAAGGGGGAGGAATGGTGAGCTGTAACGTGGTTAACACGACTGCGATGTCATTAAAGATTTGTGGTATTATTTATAGAGACGATTTGGTTGTGGCGTGGGAGGAAAATTCAGTAAGGACATTGGAAAAGGTCATTGGTCGTCTGGGTGTTTTGAGGCCCCAACATCTCACTCTGGCCCAACGTGTGATCGTTGTTAACGTTTTATTGTATAGTAAGGTGTGGCACGTTGCGGCTGTATTCCCGATTACAGGGACAGCGATCAATGGAATATTGAGAAGAGTATTTACCTTTTTGTGGGGATCGAGGTGTGATTGGTTAAGACGTGAGGTTGTTATGTTACCTGTCCATCGAGGAGGTTTGGGATTGTTGGACTTAAAGCGTAGGGTAAAATGTATTTTTCTAAAGTAGGAGGTTTGGCGTGTGGGTGTGATGGTGGGAAATATGGAACAGGTATATATGAGGTTGAAAAAGTGGTATGGGGGAATGGAATTGAGGGAATGTGAGATTGTACTATGGGCCTTTGTTGATGGTAAGGGAACGGAAAAACATTCGCATAAGGGTTTTAAGTAGGTTACTGGGGGGTACGTGCGCAGCTCCAGTAGAAGGTTTGTTCCCCATGTACTCGTGGGAAAATATTTGGCTCAGATTTAGTAAGATGAAATTACGGCCTTGGGTGCGTGAAGTCATGTTCCGTTTTTTACATGGTATATTGCCGTCAGGGGCAATACTACGATCCAGAAGAGTCGTGGAAGGTGGCGGGTGTGGGTTTTGTGGAGGAGAAGACACGGCTTTTCATGTTGTCTATTTTTGCGAAGGTTTAGAAGATGTCAGGGGTTGGTTAGGTAGGGTGGTACAGAGGGTGGGGGGGAGAGGGGTGCTGGTCCTGCGCCCGAGCTTTAGATTATATTATCGTGGATTACATTTATATTTCGTGGGTAATGAGGGGGAAAGGGGTAAGTGAGGTGAGAAGGCGTGTCCATGCAATAACGTTTTATCGTACAATGTGTAGGAATAGGGAATTGTATGGGATGAGGTGGGATAAGGGTTTCTCGGACGGTTATAAAAGGCTAACTATTGAAAGCCTTGTGAATTTGTGAATAATATACGGGCATGCCGGGTAAGTTTCCGTGTAGGTCAGTGGGAATAGCTGGCTCGTCTCTTGGGGGAGGAGGTGTGAGTTGCGTGAATACGAGATTGGGCATGGATGTATTCTAGTTGTTATGGATGTGTGTTTGTTGGTTCTGGAGTTAGGGTTACTTACTATATGCCTTTTGTGTACAAAATGACAGTGGTGCCTTTACAGTATTTATGTTTTTGAAGCTTTCCTTTTGTGTAAAGACTCGTTTTTTCTTGAGTCACAAGTTTTCTTAGTATTTTGTTTTTGATTGTGTTTCATAGGTCCAGATATTTGGGTTTACAAACCTGTATATAAATATATATATATATATATATATATATATATATATATATATATATATATATAATATATAATATATATATATATTATAATATATATATGCATGTTTTATCCCTTCCCTGTTACTGTTCAATCTAGTCTGTGAGTCACCAAAGTATTAAAGGGATATAACACGTGTACATTACCCTGAGTCGTCCAAATTTATCCTATAAATATTTCGTAATATTGTGATTTTTGTTTGTGATTCAAACGTAGTTCATAGGTATCAAGATTGAACACATATAAAATGGATGGAAATTGCTAACGATTAATATGATCATCAATTTATATATTTATTATGTTAATGAATTTGTGTTAGAGTAAATAATTGAATTTGTGTCTAAGTTGGAGTTTTTATAAACAATTGTGTATTTTGTATGCAAATTACATAAACTATTATTTAAACATCAATGTAACATGTTTGTATGATGTGCATGTAGGTTATAATGGGTTAAGTGGGGTTTCCACCAGTGTTATATTTGCTGCACAGTTATATCTTTTGGTATTGTGAGTGTTTAGTGAAACGTACGTATGTGTTTTATGGTGTGTTTGTCGTATATATCTATTCGTATTAGTTACAAATATTTTTTCTGGTATTTATGGTGTGAATCTTGGTGTACTCTATAGAATATGTATGGTGATGCTATTTAATTTTTAAGCAGCCTTGTATTTATGATGTTTTAAATAAAATATAAAAAAAAAGTTCTTATTTGATACGTTTAAGTGTTGTGACGTCTAGTGCAAGTGACATTTATCTTGCACTGGGGAGAAGGGGAAGTGTAATTTAATTATGATTGGATCATAACGACATGTCATTGGATGTATGTACACTGTATTTAGAAGACGGGAAGGATTGTGAGGATTCCCAATATATGTATTAATTCTTATGTAAATTTCATGGAATTCAGCGTGATAACAATGTACACCTATTAGTCGGATGATAAGTACTGATATTTTTATGCTTATTGTAATATAATTTTGATTGATGAAATGTATAATCTGGTATTTAGCTTTGGAGTAAAGAGATAAAAAGCATAGGTGATGGGGGATGTTTTGTGTCAGCACAAAGATGAACCAGCAGTGTGAATTTAGAAAATGGAAAATTTTTATTTTTCTGTGGCGGAGTCGACAAGGGGTTCTTATATTCTTTTATTTTATTGTATTCTAATATATTTTTAAATTCAATGACTGATGGTGGTTATGAGTGGTGACGGCAGACGCAGTTACTAGGCATGTGGGGGGAGGGGGTTGAAGTGTCAGCGGTAGTGTATTAAATCCACCTTCGTGTACGATATTGATTGTTACCATAGGGTATATGAGGATTAGGGTGTGGATTGTGTTCAATTTTGGATGTGTGCCATCATGTTCAGACATTCCTTGTATTATAGTCAGCCTTTTAGATGGCTGGATTGTGTTTATATATGTTGTTAATGATGTCCTTAATGCTCTTATATATGTATAAGAGATTTGTCAATGAGTATACTAAGGTGAAAGTGGTATGTTTTCAAGGGGGGGGGGGAGTGTAAGCATTACTAGGTAGGACTATTGTTTATTATAAGACCAACATTTCACGTGAAGCACAATACATAAAAGCAGTGTTTGATTTGAGTGCAGCAGCCAGTTCTGATGTCATTATATAAGTGCTTCTTCGGTATTTGTGTAGTCACTGCAGATTGTTTCACTGCCTGTATCTTGTTACATATTGATTATGTACCCATATATTTTGTACCTGAGTTTTAAATAAAATATTAAAAAAAGTTTCCCAGCATCTGTTGTGAGTTCAACATGTACTCACCTAGTTGTAGTTGCAGGGGTCGATTCACAACTCCTGGCCCCGCCTCTTCACTGGTCGCTACTAGGTAACTCTTCCTGCTCCATGAGCTTTATCATACATCTTCTGAAAGCTATGTATGGATCTTGCCTCCACTACTCTACTTCCCAGACTATTCCACTTCCTGACAACTCTGTGACTGAAGAAATACTTCCTAACATCCCTGTGATTCATTTGAGTCTTCAACTTCAAATTATGACTCCTTGTTGCTGTGTCCCATCTCTGGAACATCCTGTTTTTGTCCACCTTGTCAATTCCTCTCAGTATTTTATAAGCCGTTATCATATCCCCCTACCTCTCCTGTCCTCCAGTGTCATCAGGTCGATTTCCCTTAACCTCTCCTCGTAGGACATGCCCCTTAGCTCTGGAACTAGTCTTGTTGCAAATCTTTGCACTTTCTTTAATTACCTTACATGCTTGGTTAGGTGTGGGTTCCAAACTGGTGCTACATACTCCAATATAGGCCTGACACACACGGTGTACAGGTTCCTATGCTATTCCTTATTGAGATATCGGAATGCTGTCCTTAGGTTTGCTAGGTGCCCATATGCTGCAGCAGTCATTTGGTTGAAGTGTGCCTCAGGAGATGTGCTCGGTGTTATACTTACCCCAAGATCCTTTTCCTTGAGTGAGGTTTGTAGTGTCCGGGCCGCCTAGACTGTACTCCATGTACGGTCATCGTTGCCCTTCCCCAATCTTCATGACTTTGTACTTGGTGGGGTTGAACTCCAGGAACCAGTTTCCGGACAAGGCTTGCATCCTGTCCAGATTCTTTTGTAGTTCCGCCTGCTCCTCCTCCAATTGAATTCTTCTCATCAACTTCTCATCATCTGCGAGCAGGGACACTTCTGAGTCTATTCCGTCCGTCATATCATTCATGAACACCAGAAACTACACCGGTCCTAGGACTGACCCCTGTGGAACTCCGCTCGTCACAGGCGCCCACTCTGACGCCTCGTCACGTACCATGACTCACTGATGTCTTCCCGACAGGTATTCCCTGATCCATTGCAGTGACTTCCCTGTTTTACCAGCCTGGGTCTTATTTTACAGGCTGCAGTGAATGTCAAGGTTCTTACGAGTCCTACCAAGCTGGGAATTAACAGCTCACTCCTAGTAGGCAGTAATTTGCCTCCAGGTAAGTACTTACTGACTCAGTGTTTTAATCCAATAAGTACATATTTACCATTAAAAAACTGCTTTAAATGCCTGACGTATGTATTGATTAAATCATTATAATAGAAATACACCGTCATCACCAGCAATATTTTGAGTATTTATACAATGTGGTTATATATATATATATATATATATATATATATATATATATATATATATTCTCACAGGGTTCTGCAAGAAATGTGCTACCAAGCCAGGGCAGGAGACACTAGTGTTCCCAGGAACACCTGTGTGTATCTCGTCAGGCACACGTCCCACTCGCTCGCTCATAGACTGGACACTCAAGGTGGGAGCCAACTCTTACGATGTTTGGTTGACGTTGTCATTCTTAGGTATTGGTTGTCATGCGCTCATTACATAGCGGATCGAACTTTCAATACTTGAGTTGCATGACTCATACGAGCTTAGCGCTTCACATAAATTTAATGAGTATAAGCATAGACAGGAGACGTTGTGGTTAATATTCTCTTGATTCAAGGAAGTGGAGCTGTCCTTCCCATCATATATTAATATCTCTTTATCCCCCGACGAGTTTAGTATTTTGGTGAATGATAATAATAATTATAATGATTATTATTATAATTATTTCAATAAGAATATCGATACTAATGTGAATATTAACAATACAGACTTCAGACCCAACCTCTGTGTTGAACATCACTTGTGACTTGACGAACTTCCCACTCAACCCTCAACCCACTGATGATCGACTCTTTCTTTCAACCGTTCAAAGACTGAGAACGTAAGTTAACCACGTACGTTTACTGCAATATATATATATATATATATATAATATATATATATATATATATATATATATATATATATATATATATATATATATATATATATATATATAATAGTACATAAATGTCGTGCCGAATAAGTAATACTAGTCAGTTAGCTTGAACTTATTTAAAATTAAATCTTTTCTAAAATTTTCACTTATACGTTTACAGATTTATATTTTTTTCATTTATAATAATGTAAAAATAATAAATTTGTACTAAAAGAACCTTAGAAAACTTACTTAACCTTATTATAACAAGAGCAATTTAATTTTGCCTATCCAACTAAATATATTTCAGAAATATTTACAATAATTTAATAATTAACATACACAACGAAATATACTTTCGTGTTAGGTTCGGAATAATTTATGCAAATTATTGCACACACAAATTTTCGCATGCCTTAGTCGGCAAAAATAGTGTTGCTATTTAAGCCAAAATCGCAATTTTTACCTAATCGGCACGACATATGTATACCGAGGTTTAAGTTTCTATCAGTAAATATGCATCAAGTGGCGTAAAGCAATAAGTAGTGATGTTTACATTCACTAAACAACAGTTTTTTTTTTCATTTTGTCCGTGATGTTGCCTTTCCAATATAGACCTGGTTTGAAATCTGGCCGGAAACTGATGGTTCCCAGAACGATTAATAAACAACTATTGTTTTCCTCTATCATTACAGTTTCAGCCCCCGAGGACCTAGACACCTCATTACAAAGTCTAATTTCGCTTCTCTCATCTACTACAAGCAAAATCAACTCAATAAATCTCAAATCTGCTGTTCCGTGTCTGTTTTGGCTGGTAAGTAGGCCTACCTCAGCCTATGGCACTATCTGAAAGTCTTTTCCATCTTAATATAATGATCGTGTTGTTGTTTTTGTCAATTAAGTCTTTAAGGCACACGTTACAGATTAGGCTTATAAGACAACGTTTCACACAGTGAAATGGTGCCATTTTAAGCTCATCCAACAAACTGTTTGTCTTTCACTATTATCGACACTAAACTGAAGTTCGCGAGTCAGCTTTTTGCTGTGAATTATGTGACCATAAATGACAAATTAATTATATTTTCAACAGGGAAGAATGTCACCACTTTGTCCACTGCCACAACAACCTCACCAGCCAACACATCTGTTACACCAAGCACTAATTCAACATCACCACTACCAGGTTCACCCCCACCTCTACCAGGATCACCGCCACCTCTACCAGGATCACCACTAACTCTACCAGGATCACCACCACCTCTTCCAGGACCACCGCCACCTCTTCCAGGATCACCACCACCTCTTCCAGGATCACCACCAACTCTACCAGGATCACCACCACCTCTTCCAGGATCACCGCCACCTCTTCCAGGATCACCACCACCTCTTCCAGGATCACCACCAACTCTACCAGGATCACCACCAACTCTACCAGGATCACCACCAACTCTACCAGGATCACCTCCGCCACTAGGATAATCACCACCATCACCAGGGTCCCCGCCACCACCTGGACCACCACCGTCACCTGAACCACCACCACCTGGACCACCACCGTCACCTGGACCACCACCACCTGGACCACCATTACCACGAACAGTTTTACCCCCACCATTCAGGCTACTATCATCACCAACAACAGAAACACCAACACCAACGGAACATCAACAGGAGCACCAACACCAACAGGAACACCAACATCAACAGGAACACCAACACCAACAGGAACACCAACATCAACAGGAACACCAACACCAACAGGAACATCAACAGCAACAGAGGTACTGCCTACAACAGACTAATAACACAATATAAGAGATTCCCAATAGCACCACCACTAGGAAAATTATCACCAACATTACCACCACCACCATCACGAACACTACTACCACCGCCACCACCACTACTACCACCAACACTACCGCCTCTACCACCACCACCACCACTACTACCACCACCACCACTACCACCAACACTACCGCCTCTACCACCACCACCACCACTACTACCACCACCACCACTACCACCAACACTACCGCCTCTACCACCACCACCACTACCACCAACACTACCGCCTCTACCACCACCACCACTACCACCAACACTACCGCCTCTACCACCACCACCACTACCACCAACACTACCGCCTCTACCACCACCACCACTACCACCAACACTACCGCCTCTACCACCACCGCCACAAACAACTGAATCACCTCTACTATTCGCACTACGAATCCAATTATTACTGCTACTACCGTCGTTATTACTACATTTACAACTATTCATGCTGCTATAACTGCTCTTCATACAATTTATGGTACTGTTCCTATTTTATTCCTTTTTCATCTATGTCTGCTACTAACGCTCTCACAACTATTTTCATCTATAGTACCCGGGGGATTTATTGAAAAAGTTTTTAAGATGTTTTTAAATGTAGTTACCAAAATTTAGCATATTAATGTAAACGTTTTTATCCCTGTTGTCAAGAACTGCGACTGTCGTAGTTATCCAGCCGTATATAATATTCAATCAGTCGTATATTACAACAGTCATATATATTATTTTTAATATTAATGACAATGATAAGGTCTCTTGAGAACTTTGTTATTTTTAGAGAAAATTGGAAAATTATATTGATTCATTTTAAGTCCATTACATATCAAATATTGATAAATGAAATGTTTGTAACGAAAAAATACATAGATAAAGTATAATGAATTTTAAATGTTTCCTCTCATGTTTCACGGAAATTCGAAAATGTTTACAACCAGATATTATAAATAAAACTTATTGACTACATAATTTATCCTATACGACTATTCCTAATTTGTAATATAATTTCTGATATAAGAAATATATTCTATTGTTTGCATCCAAAGTCTACTAAATTTCAATTTTAAGAGTGTTTTATTTTCCCCTTTTAATCAGACGTACAATATTTGCTTCTTGGAACAAAATAATGTGTTTTGGTGTGGCATGCAAAGAGTAAGTTACATTTATTCGGCGTATGTACACACTCCCATATAGACTGTCTCTCAACCAGTGAACAGGGTGCTAAGGGTTTAACGATTAAGGGGGCCCCATCCTTAAATCAGTACCTTGGTTCAGCCAATCATAATGTGGGTCGGACAATTGCCAAGGTGACGTGATAGCAACTGGGTTAGCTCTTGTCAGATTCATACAGTTGCTTGTTGATCACGGTTGTCTCTCTGGCTGTTGTCTTGCCTCTTGATTACTGTGATACACTTATTTTCCAAACTCTTGTACATAGTGTACATAAAGGTAACTACCTCTAATCATACTTGATGTAAGAAGATATAATTTAAAGACTACTGCTGTGTTTATTTTCGCTCTAAGTCCCTTTACCACCCAGGATAACAGACCTTTCTCGCCTGGGGGTGTAATTTTGGGCCTACTTGATGTGCAGTAGATAAGAACCAAACTTCATCTATTCCTTCAGTTTACACTCCAGTAAAGTCACGGCTAGAAAGGCATAAGTTTTTCAAAACTAAAATATTATTTAAATGTCGAAATAAAATATATAGTAATAGGTAACAAAAAAAGGCACAATACCGTGACTGGAACGATACACAAATAACCCGCACATAAAAGAGAGAAGCTTACGACGACGTTTCGGTCCGACTTGGACCATTGACAAAGTCCCACTAACCAGAAGTGGAGCAGGACGGCTATATATAGGCAGGAAAGGTGGTGGTAGTAGTAATAGTAGTAGTAGTACAAGAATAGTATATAATACCGACAAGATGAAATTAAGACACGCGCAACACGAGGGTCATCACCACCACCAGGACCATCACCACCACGAGGGACCATCACCACCACCAGAACCACCACCACCAACAGGACCAACAGGACCACCACCACCAAGACCACCACCATCTCCACCAACTGGACCACCACCACCACCACCAGACTACCCCACCCAATGGACCATCACCACACCACCAACAGGACTACCACCACAGACATCACCGCGAATAGACCACCACCACCCACCACCAACAGAACCACCACCACCAACAGGACCACCACCAACAGGAACATCACCACGGACACCACGACCACCAGAACCACCACCACCAACGGAACCACCACCACCAGCAACTTTCCCACCACCGACAACAACAGGACCACCACCAACAGGACCACCACCAACAGAACCAACGGTACAACGACTCTCGTAAAGATTAAAAAACGAGATAAAAATATTTCTATACAAATTTCTTCAATAATTAGTAAAATTTTAATACAAAAATAACTGTAATTAAAATACAGCAGCGTTTAGTGTATGAAGCCGATGACAGAATGTATTCTGATTTATTTAATAAAACTTATATAAATTCATGAAGCTCGGAATGAACGCCTCACTTAAAAAAAAAAATAAACCATTAATACTGTAAGTCTGAAGAAATCAGAAAAGTTATTCTCCAGTTATTACTCAAAATAAAACAAATTTAACTTGATTCATCATGTTAGAAAACTGATACATATTCATCTTTACCATTCATCGTGAATGGTTTGAAGACGATACGATGAGTCATTCTTTAATAATTAAATGTAAATAATTTCAAATGTATTTAATAAAATTGACCGATTAAGAATGATAAAGGATAATTAGAACATTCTACTTCCTTTCAAGAAAACACACCGGCAGTGAAGGTTTGAAACCCATCAGATGAGGCATTATTCAGATATTGCATGCATTCTGGATTTCTTGAACTACATCTGTGATAAATGGTTTTGAAAACCGACAAGTTGAAGATTGAGACACTTATGCAACATATGGGAATCTTTATTGCGGAAACCACACAGTGGTTTCATCAGTCCTATACAAAGCAGAAGTGTAAGGAGAGGAGGAGTTTGAGGTATTCAGTCCCTCAGTCTGGAGTCGATGTGTTTAGTCCATCAATCTTGTAGAATGTACAGCATAGGGCCGTAGACGTGGCTTATATACTGTAGTCAGGTGAGGTGAAGCAGGAGGAGGCGGGGTCATATTGGTACCATCCACTAGTCGAAGTAGGTCTTCGTCCAAAGGTTGATTATTGAAAACTTTTACAAGTACTCGAAGTAACCATAATGGTAACTACAAACTCTGTAATGTGTTCATTAAATATTATACTTGTTCATAAAAGAATGGTTTAAAACAATTTTTAACGCGATGTTAAGGGTATACTCAAATACAGTTACATAGATCATGCATAGCAGCATATGTGTAAAGAACCTGGGATAACACAAAGTGACTTATTTCCTCTACTGAACACACAGAGAGGGAGCAGCCATTAAGTTAGCAATCAGTGAGGGAGCAACCAGTGTGGGATGGAGCAACCAGAGTGGGATGGAGAAACCAGTGTGGGATAGAGCAACCAGTGTGGGAGGGAGCAAACAGTGTGGGAGGGAGCAACCAGTGAGGGAGGGAGCAACCAGTGTGGGATTGAGCAACCAGTGTGGGTGGGAGCAACCAGTGTGGGATTGAGCAACCAGTGTGGGAGGAAACAACCAGTGTGGGATTGAGCAACCAGTGAGGCAGCAACTAGTGCGGGAACAACCAGTGTGGGAGGTCTCAGCAGTACCAATACCAGTAACCAGTTACCAGTCTGGTAGGGACTCAATACCAACCGTCTGTGTTAATCACTTGTTATTCACTGTTACAGCTGACCTAGCATGATTTGAAGACCGCTCGCCCTCTGAGGCACTCAGCAAGCCAGCTCAAGTAGAGACATTAGACAGGCGGCAGGTCAGGCTTGGTGCTTACCATATATTCCGTCTAATATACGTACGTGAGTGTTTCTTACCCAATCCACGTTTCGAACCCCCACGTGACATTTGATGGCAGCATTGTGGGCGTGGATTTACGGTATTCCGAAGTTAGAAGATTGTTGTGGTGCCCAGGTCAGAGTGACCGTCTATGCCACCCCCAGCTAGCCGCTTCTTACCCAATCACTTCCACCCCACCCTGTGTCACTCCAGCCTGCAAGCCAGTTGCAGCCGCTTTTCAAGCTTCCTGGCTTAGTTCGTGTGCTAACTGCTTCAATCTCCGAGGGGTTGACCCGGATTTTGCAATTAAGCAAGCCAGTAAGCCAGTTTGTGGGAGAGAGTGCCAGCCTGCCTGCCTCAGTCTACCATCCAGCCTGTCTCCTGGCATCCACCTGCTCCTTCATGCTGTGTGCATCGTTACACGTCTTCCAGCCAGCCATTATCGAAGGTTCAGCCAGCAAGCCAACCCAGCTGAGAGAGAAAACTAAGCCACGCAAGTCCCTCTTGAGGTATTGTCTCCAATATTGCTTTGTGCTACTTGTTGGATTTAAGAGTGGTCTTCACCATCCCTGCGGCATATTGTGGCTTAGTTTAAGCCACCTGGGTTTTCTCATGAATGATGAGATTTAGTATACAGTGGGCGCCTGAGGAAATCCAGGTTGTCCCGTCTGCTCCCTCCACCACCCGTCGTCACCACCACCACCCACTCACAACCAACCTCATTTACCTGTGGCTTTTTCCACCCTTATACCGGGTCCTAGCACCGCCTTTTTGGCTCACATAATTGGTCAAGAGATTGTAGCTGTGCGTCAACGATAAAGCCAATTATGTGAGTTCGCCTAGATAGCGCATTTCTTCACGACAACAGTGTGAGTGTAGGAGGAATCATCACCAGCCCACAGGACCACATCCTCCCCTCGCCGTTCACCACCCAACACCACCGCTTCCAGTCTTCAGTGATAATTTTCTGTTTAGAGTCAATTCCCTGCATTTAAAGACATTTGCGTGTGTGAGATATTTACGGTGAATTTCTTGTGTACTCTAAGCCTGGTGTTTTTAGCTCAGTGTTTCTTTGACTCATCATTTTATCATTATTTTTCAGTGATATCGTTCATCTTTCGTGTTCCATTTGTACATTTTTTATCTGTGTTTTTTATGCTACTTTCTGCCTGTAGTAAGTATTATTTTGTAGTGTACAAATTTATTCCTTATTTGTGTGCAGTATTTTATTCCTTACCCCAGTCATTCACTCCGTGTGAAGTCATTCATTTCTTTTCCTTTGTATTCTTTCAGCATTGTATTCTCCAGTAATTGTCGTTATTGTAATTCATGCAGTGCTATTTACCCCAGTATACTAAATTACTCATTTATTTCTGTGTGTACCATTTTTTATTCTTTGCCCAGCAGTCTCTCAATACCTTGATTTTTTCGCAGATTCTTGTACAAGTTTTTATGCAAGCAATTCTTGTCTCAGTCACAGCAAGATTTTGTTGGATGAACAATTAACCGATAAGTGAATAATCCTTGTTGTGTGTGCCCCGCCACTTGTATGTGTTGTGTGTGCCCCGCCACTTGTAAGTGTTGTGTGTGCCCCGCCACTCGTATGTGTTGTGTGTGCCCCGCCACTTGTAAGTGTTGTGTGTGCCCCGCCATTTGTAAGTGTTGTGTGTGCCCCGCCACTTGTATGTGTTGTGTGTGCCCCGCCACTTGTAAGTGTTGTGTGTGCCCCGCCACTTGTAAGTGTTGTGTGTGCCCCGCCACTTGTAAGTGTTGTGTGTGCCCCGCCACTTGTAAGTGTTGTGTGTGCCTCGCTACTTGTGTTGTGTGTGCCCCGGCACTTGTAAGTGTTGTGTGTGCCCCGCCACTTGTAAGTGTTGTGTGTGCCCCGCCACTTGTAAGTGTTGTGTGCCCCGCCACTTGTAAGTGTTGTGTGTGCCCTGCCACTTGTAAGTGTTGTGTGTGCCCCGCCACTTGTAAGTGTTGTGTGTGCCCCGCCACTTGTAAGTGTTGTGTGTGCCCCGCCACTTGTAAGTGTT